CTCTCTCTCTCTCTCTCTCTCTCTCTCTCTCTCTCTCTCTCTCTCTCCATAACCATTGACTTTGATAAAATCTCCCAACTCATGATGAATTTGTTAAACTTGATAACCAATACTCTTGCCAAATCTTTAAGAATAATTATGAGTAATTAATCATGTATCTATCAAAGTCATCATGCAAACCACTCTTTTCTACATAGGAATAATCACTACTGAAACCATGTGTGGATCATAAGCCACCTGCCATGCTCATGATGGCCTCCATGTGGCCATTGCAGTTTCAGGATGAACACTATGGACAGCAATCATGCCATCATGGTGACCTTCATGTCTTCCTCTTCAGCTGTGATATGATATGGTTGTGAGGAAAGAGTATGAGCTCTGTCCCCATCCTGACCACCTTGACCAGGAGGAGGTGGTGGTCTTTGTTATGGGCTCAGACTCTGCTAGAAGGAAGCGTGGGAGGATGACTTCAACTAGAAGGCCTCCTGTAGACACCATGGCAGTTATGGAGCATCATTGCGAAAAGTCTGCCATAATAGCTTTATCCTGGGTTTACAAGGCTATGGTTGCCCTCTGAAGTGGCTCAGGGAGGAGATGAGGATGACTGTTATACAGTCTCCATCCCTATCAGGTGTCCCACTAATCAAACAACTCTGTCGGTGGAATGTGGACCGCATTCCTAGAAAAGCTTGACCGCTGTTTGAGTCTCCCCATGAAGTTCTTTGGTTGTTAGCTGCTTCGACCCCAACAATTTCTCCTCCCAGTTTGATCACGTCCCAGCTCCCAATCAGAGTCACTTTGTGTGTAGTGTTGTTAATCTAGGCATTCCACGGCCTCAGGGGAGAGCTGGCTGCGGACCTGAGTAATGGGAGCTCAGCCCCTGCTCAAATCAGGATTTTCTTCAGTACCAACAGTGATCCTCGATAAATGCTGGAGGCCACTGCTGTCTGGAATGAATGCTGACGTCGTAGTCTACACGGGTGGCCTCCATGTTTGTGACTCATTTCACAGTCACTGCCCAGCACTGTTGTTCTCAGCTAGAATGTGTAACTCAACCATCTCACTGGTCTTCCGAGATTATTTAAACGCATGGTCCTCTTCTAAACCTTCGGTGTTGCTTCACCGCGACCACACTTGGTTTCGCTCTTGGGGGAAGGTTTCCTGCACCTGTTCAGCTTCCACTTTCTTGTGTTAAATGGACTCAGCAGTTAAGTTTCATGTATTATTGCAGAAATATAGCACTCTCAGATAGAACAACTGACACACATTTCGGTGGCCATACAAGTAGCCACACATTTCTTCATTGCCTGCTGCAATAGGTTCTTTGCTTCCACCTACAAGTGATTTGTTAACACACACACACACACACACACACACACACACACACATACACACACACGGCTTTGTCATGGCATTTTGACACAAGCATACAATATATTCTCACTTAACATCAGATTCATTCCTCATTCTTGTCCTACTCACTTCCCTCTTCCCAGAAAGTCCTCCTCCTACTTTGTGTCTTTGTATATGTGTGTGTCTGTATCTGTATGTGTGTGTGTGTCTGTGTGTGCATGTGTGTGCAAGTGTGTGTGTGAACCAATGAATTTAATTAAGACTACTTAAAGGGGTACAGATGGTCATCGGTAACTATAACACTGAAGAAAATTTCTATCTCTCCTAGAGTAACTGTTAACTACCTATAAATCAACTCACTTTGTTTCTAGAAATGTCCTGCTGCTGCTTGTAGAGGGCACGCTATTGTCACATGACAGAAGGCAGATAGGCAAAAGGCTTATGCTAGTTTCTTCTGTCCTTTTAGTAAGACAATAATTTATTTTTAAAAAATGCACCCCACCTTTTAAGACCAACACAGTAGGATTTAAATGCCAACATCAACTTTGAAAGTGTTCTAGTTTGCTTTTATGTTGCTGTGATAAAAAACCCTCTACCCAGGAAAGGAAAGGGTCTACTTCATTTTGCACTTCCAAGTGACAGTCTCATCACTGAGCAAAGCCAGAGCAGGAACCTCGAGGCAGGAACTGAAAGAGAGACCGTGGGAGAACTCTGTTTACTGGCTTGCCCCGTGGTTCACATTTAGGTCTCTTCTCTTTCTGGCCCTCCTGCCTAGGGATACTACTTTCCACAGTGGCCTGGGCTCTTCTACATCAATTAGAAGTTAAGAAAATGCCTCTCACACATGACCACAGGCCAGTCTGATCTAGGCAGTTCTTCAGTTGAGGTTTCTTCTTCCTAGGTGACTCTTTGAGTCATGGTTGAAGTTAGCCATGACAAAGAGAATATACTGAAACAGCAACGTTTTATAGAGTTTTATTTTGGTAATCTTCTTTTTCTTTCTTTTCTTTTCCTGTTATTTTCTTGGTGATTACTCTAGAGATTGTCCTACACATCTTAGTTTGTCAACATTAATTTCAGACTTACACTAAATTTCAGTAGGAAAACTGATAGAAATGTTGCTCTTAGTGTAAACCGATTTCCTCTCCTTCTTCCTTTTGGGGCCATTATTATTAAGCATATTGTACCTACAACAGATACAAATGTTATGGTCCAGCATTGCACTGTTTTAGTTACTTGTAGATAGTGTTATGGGTTTGTTTGTGTGTGATCCTGTATGGAGGAGTACATGTGCACATGTGTGGGCCTATGCCTGCGAAGGCCAGAGGACAATCTTAGGTGTCATCCTTCAGAGGACATCCACCTGTTTTTTTTTTATGCCATCTCAACTTCATTATTATTCATGGGTCATCATTTTATTAATTGTGCATTATTTAATCATGCTACAGAACCATGTTGTTGAAAATGAGTCATTTTATCCACCATCTTATTAATATTTATCGTCATATGTGCTATCATTCTCTTTTTCTCATGCAAAAACTGAGTGGTAAAAAGGTTGCATATTTGAAGCCATATAATTAGCATTAATAGGATGGCTATCATGTGTGGAGAGTTAACACTGAAATTTAAGAGGTCTAATAATAAAGGCTTGCTGTGCTTGTATTCACCCTCGTTCTTGTTATATACCCCTAGAGAGTAGCTAGGAGGTTATATGCTATATGCACCCTGCAAGATCCAAGATGGTGCAGATCTGCGACTTTTTTCTGCATTATCTAGAAGCGGCTTCCACGGATGCGAAGGTGGAGGTGATGAGTGAGGCATAGTATTCTCTAAATTAAAAACATTACTGTTTTACTCCCCGCCTCTAAATAAGAACAGAATAACTTTTACTTTTACCTGAGAGGAAAGTGGAGAGGTCATTATCAAACTTACACGTCAAAAGTGAGCAAAGGTTGCACATCATCGGTGCTGTTTTAAAAATTAGCGTGCGGAATAGTAGATTCCCTTATGAAATTATCATATCTACTGCCAGGAATTGGCTGACCCATTGACCCACCTGCGCCTTCCCTCCATCATCTTCCTAGCTCCATCCCCTCTAAGCCCTCAATAATCTCCCTTTCATTTTCACAGCACACGTTCTTTTCCTCTCTCTGCCTCTCTGTCTTAAAATTGCTCCCTCGCCCATGTGGGGCCCTCCCTAGTTTCCTGGGCTCTCCATAGGCTCACTCTGACTAGATATGCACACACATAAAAAATAGATGCAAAGATCCACAAGGGAGAGGACATGTCTTTTTCTGAGCCTGGTTTACTTCACTTAATATAGTATATTCCAGTTCCATCATTTTCTTTGCTGAAAATTGCCTAATTTAATTCTCTCTGCTAAATGTAATTTCATTGTGGACTAGTATATTTTCATTATCCATTCATCTGCTGATGGGCATCTAGGCTGATTCCTTTTCCTTTATATTGTGGATAGAGCCACAGTGACTATGGGTGTGCAGGGGTTTCTATAGTCCTTTGGGTATTTACTCAGGAGCGGCATCGCTGAATCATATGGTACTTCTATTTCTAGATTTCTGAGGAATTTCCACACTGATTTCCATAGAGGCTGCACTAACTCAGGCTCTCAGCAACAGTGGGTAAGTGTTTCTCTTTGTCCATGCTCTCTCCAGTATGTTTTCTTGATGATAGATAGCTACTTTGGCAGGAGTTAAATGGGATATCATAGTTTGAGTTGCATTTCCCTGATGGCTAAGGATGTTAAACACTTAAACATATCTATTGTTCAGTTATATTTCTTCACTTGGAAATTTCGCACAGTTTCTTATTCCATTTTTGATAGATTGTTTTCTTGCCTGATCTTTTGAGTTCCTTGAATTGTCTAGATATTAGTCCTATCAGATGTGTAACTGGAAAGATTTTCTCTCATTTAGCAGACTGCCTTTTCACTTGGTTAATTTTTTCCAGAAGTCTTTTAATTTCACAAAGTACCATTTTTTGGGGGTAATTAGCGTATTTCCTGAGTCACTGGAGTCTTACTTACAAAACCTTTTCTTATGTCTTGAGAGGTTTCTCTTCCTTTTCCTTTAACAGTTTCACAGCTTCCATTCCTGGATTATGATTTCTGATCCCATTGGAGTTGACTTTCATGCAAGATGAGAGCTATGGCTCTAATTTTACTCTTTTTCCATGTAAGCGTTGGATTTCCACAGCATCATTTGTTAAAGAAGCTCTTTTCTACAGTGAATTCATTTGGCATCTTAGTCAAAAATCCCGTGGTTGTAGCTGCATGGATTTATGACTAAGCTCCCATTTTATCCCGTTGTTCTACATGCCTATTTTTGGGCCAGCGCCATGTTGTTTTTATTTCTATGGCTCTATATTGAAGAAATAGAAAACCAGGTGCATCCTTTATGTTATATATTGTATAATGATGTTACACATTAGCTCTTTACACTTATCCTATATAACTGTAACTTCATGCTCTTTGACCCATTCATGGGAGTTTGAATGAATACTACCTCCATAGCCTCAAAAGAGTGGCACTTTTTGAAAGAACTAGGACATGTAGTCTTGTTGGAGTAGGTGTGGCCTTGTTTGAAGTGGTATGCTATTGTAGTATGGGTTTTGAGGTTTCAAATGCTCAAGCCAGGCCCAGTGTCTTTCTCTCTTCTTGTTGCCTGAAGATCCAGATGCAGAACTCTAGCTTCCGTCTCTAGGACCATGTCTGCTTGGATGCTTTCCACTTTCTTCTTCATTATGTCCTTGGTAAACAACATTCATTTGTTGTTATGTGTTTTAACTTTTTTTTTAGATCCTACATATAAGTGAGATTCTGTGCTGTTTTTCTTTTTCTATCTGGTTTATTTCTTTGGGTATCCTTGTGGTTACAAACAATATGACTTCCTTCTATTTTCAGGAGAACTATTATTTATTATTATTATTATTATAGATGATATATTTCAACTTTTATACAGTTTATATCACCCTTTATATTACTTAAGAAAAGGATACTACAATACATTATATTGTGCTGTAGAATTGTACTTCACAAAGAAAATCTTCAGTCTTCTACTACATATACTTCCATTGCTGTGAATATTTCAGTATATATAAACACTTAAAGCTACAAGTTTATGTGAATACTAATAATTTCAATCAAGTCAGGCAGTGGTGGTGCATGCCTTTAATCCCAGCACTTGGAAGGAGGATCTCTGTGAGTTGGAGGCCAGCCTGGTCTACAAAGTGAGTTCCAGGACAGCCAGAACTACACACAGAAATCCTGTTTCAAAAAGCAAAACAAAACAACAGTAAGAATAGTTTCAATAACAAGCAAAGGGCTTTGTCTTATCCTCCTTCATAACATATTTCCCTCTTCTCCCTCAAGGACAGCTCTGTCTCCAAGGAGAATCTACTCAGTTACACAGTTCCATGCCACCTTGCAGAGTTATGTGACGGAATAGAGTCTCAACCCCACACAACTTAATCTTCTGTGCCTGTACTTTGGGTGCTCGTCTCGTGATGTATTTTTGGGAGAAACCCAGGGTAAGTCACACTGCTACTCACCTCCCTACATGTCCCAGTTAGTATACATTCTCTTGTAATAGCCACCAACATGCAAATGTCTAAGTTAGGGTTTCTAGTGCTGCAACCAAACACTATGACCAAAAAACAAGTTAGGGGGAAGAGGGTTCATTTGGTTTATGCTTCCATATTGCTTTCATTTTAAAGGAAGTCAGGACAGGAACTCAAAACAGGGCAGGATCCTGGAGGCTGAAGCTGATACAGAAGCCATGGAGGGGTGCTGCTTACTGGCTGGCTTCTCATGGCTTGCCTAGCCTGCTTTGTTATAGAACCCAGGACCAGCCGCCCAGGGATGGCACCACCCGCCACAGGCTGGGCCTTCTCCCAATGATCACTAACTGAGAAAATGCCCTTACAATTGTATCTCATCGAGGCATTTCCTCTACTGAGGCTCCTTCCTCTCTGATGACTTTAGTTTGTGTCAAGTTGACACAAAATCAGCCAGTACAGCAAGCTAAAATCATAATATTACAATAACAGAATCATAAACTATATATGGAAAATGAAACCCAGTACATATTCAGTAAGAAAAATTTACTTCCTCACACTTCTATTTTAATAGTCCATGTCTCTGTTCTTTTATAAAAATAGAACTATGTTGTTGACAGTAGTTTCATTTGTGAATTAAATTGTAGGTATACAGTTAAAGAAAGAAAGAAAAAAGGAAGCAGGCTAGAAGGAATGGAGTGAGGGAACGATAAACGTATTTTCAGGGCGAATGCTTTGTCATTAAGTGGCTTTTATGAATCACACACTTTAGCAATGTGTCATTTGACCCACATGCTCACCACAGGAACAAATGTGGGAATAAATGAACATGAAACTTTGATTTTGATCTTAGGCAAAAAGGAGGAATTTTTTTTTAATTTAGTACTTAGGTAAAAAATAAAAATAGTAGGATTCTCAGATCAAAGAATTTAATATGAGCTTAAAATACAACAAAACATCTCTTAGCCATTTTAACGACGGAGGAAAATGTACGTCTTTGTCCTAAACCTAATATAGAGATGAAAGATAAATACAGCAGTAAAAAAGACTCTCCATTGGACACAGGAACTTCTTTAGAAACATGAACTACACTCAAGAGGCAGAGGCAATGGCATCACTTGAGCTCATGAGTTTGACACAAGCTTGGACAACCTAATGAGATCATCATTTCAACAAGACAAAAAAACGAATGTTTTAAAAGCTAATTGAAAAGTTTAAAATATACAGGGCAGTTATTTCCAAAGCATTAATAGTGTGCTTCCTATATGCAACTTTGTTTTATGAACAAAATCATCATAAATTGTTAACAGATGTAACTCTTGGAATGGAAATGTTCTTTGATCTCTCATGTTTGTCTATATAGAAATCTTCATAAAGGTCCCTTTTGGGTGAAGAATAGCAAGCACGGTTATGTACAGTCTTGCTTATGGAGTTGTTCTTTAATTCACACAATGAATTTACTCAAATAGATTGGGGATGGTTCCTTTTCTGATTCTCCGGGGTACTCTTCCCTACCAGCGGGAGACATCTTCATCAAACCCCGAGCTGTGTCTAGGGTGTTGTGTAAAGCCCCTTCACCTGGAAGAATTTACCCGTTTGACTTCCGCATTTGAACAACTGAACTTCCAGATAACTCACAGGAAACAATCCTGCATTTCTGCTTGCATAGACTATTTCACTCACCAAGGGCTAGCTCTCTAATTGCTCCCTGGATTGTATGATTTAAAAAGACGTGGAATAAAGTTCAGGCTTTGCCACTTGTTTTAGTGAATGTTTAAAGACAAGATGTTATTGGTAGTGGATAATTGGTGGGGGAGGGATAATCATCCTCTATTGGTGATAGGGCAACCACGAGGATTCTCATGCTCTGGTGGATGGCCACACATGCATGCACATAAGTGCAGCATTAACTGAACTTAGTGGGTTTTATTAAAAAAAATACATGATATTGGACGGGACACGTGATGGTGGTATGTGTGAGGATTTGGATGGGGAAAGAGGGTGCATAAGATCATATTTTGTTGTGTACATGTATGAAATTCTCAAAATGAAGAAAATTAAAAAACAAACAGTGAGTTAAAAATTAAAAAACAAACAAGCTACATTATCCAATAAATGACTCTAGTCCTCTCTGGGTTCTGTGAATGAGCTAAATGGGGCTGGGAACTCTAGTTTGGTTCTTAGAGCCACATCATGCATGTGTATGCACGCACACACACACACACACGCACACACACACACCCCTAAACACACATATCAAGCAAGAAATAATAATCAATAATCTTGCAATCTTGGTAGACATGATAACTTATATCTGTTATTACATGACTTAAAGGGTAAGAGAAGGGTCTTTGCTTCAAGGCCAGTCTGAACTACATAGTGTGTTTGAGGCTACACTGCTCTGAATAGAGAGATTGCATATTAAAACATCAAGAAAAATATGTAAAAAGAAAAATATTGGGCTGGTTTCAAAGGGTAAATAACCTCTTGATTGAGACCACACTTACATACTTAAGGCACAATTAATTCTATCTGTTGATCTATTGCTCTATTTAAATCCAATTCCGGTTTACTCAAAAGTTACTCAAGAACAAATAGTTTTTATGCTAAGGAACGTTAGAAAAGTGGAGAAATGTTTCAGCTTCGCATTTGCTGGCCTTTCCTTAAGTGGCACTCACATGTCTTCTAAAATAAATAAAATAAATCATCTAACATATGCTCAAGTGATGACATTTTCAATGAATGGGGTCTTTGTGCCTAGTGAAAAATCTAAAACTCTCCCTTGTGTGACTGTTACAATGAATGCACTCACGATCCTGGTCAGACACCTGGCATTCTAATGTGATTTGAATACTTAGTTTTCTTTTAAGCTTCCTCTTTCTTTGTCATAGCCACAACTGCTTTTGCAACTTTGTGATTTTTAAACTTCCTCTGCAGAAGAGTTTTGAAAGCATTTTTGTTGCTTGTTCGGCATAACCATTATTCTTTTGGAAGCTTGAAGCTATAGTAAAAGTGATGATAAATTGAATTATAAACAGTTGTAAGAGAATATTCTCTTTGTCACCTTTTGGAGACAGGGATTCAATTTAATGCCAGTCTGGCATTAAACTTGCTATGTTGTAGAGGATAGCTTTGAACTTTTGACCCTACTATATTCATGTCCCAAGTGCTAGAATGTAGATATGTACCCTCAAATCCAGTTTATGTGGTATTGGTGTGTCTCGGTTATTTTTATTATTAGTCAAGCTGTTTGGAAAGAGAAAACCTCAATTTAGAAAATGCCTCCATTCAATTACCTATAGGCCATTTTCTTAATTAATGGGTGATATAGGAGAGATCAGCTCCCAGTAAGCAGTACTATTCCTGGGCAGGTGGTCCTGGGCTGTATCAGAAAGCAGACTGAGCAAGCCAGGGCGAGCAAGCCAGTAAGCACCACTCCTCCATGGTTCTGCTTCAGTGCTTGCCTTCAGAATTATGCTCCTGCCTTGACTTTCCTAAATGATGGACTTGAATGGAGATCTGTAAGCTGAATTAACCCTTTCCTCTCCACATTGCTTTTGGTCACGGTGTTTTTTATTATAGCAATAGAAATGTAACTAGGACATGGACTTTGTGCATGCTTGGCAAGCATTTCACCAACTGAGCTACTTCCCAGCGACTCTGTAAGAGATTTTTATACCAAGCATGTTTTCCTTATGGATTTTGGTTCAAAGTGTTTATGTAGTTGCTACTAGAAGAACTAATGCCCAAAACATCTCTCACTGAATCATCAGTGACTGTTTAATGGATTCGTGAAGAAATAGCAACTCAGGAAACAGTAATTCTAATCTTGGCTCCTTCTGACATAATTTGATGATGTCAAACCTTTCATTTTACTCGAAGATATTTTTATCTTAAACCTTACAAATATGGGGAAACTATTAATAAATAGCCCCTCCCCAGAGGAGGGAAGAATGAAAGAGGCTTCACAGCAGAGGAAGAAAAAAACAGGCCAGGAGACAGGCTTTCTGAGGACAGCCTTGTCAGGTAGAAGCCACGTTAATTTAGACCAGCGACTTTGTTTGGCAGAGGCTGTCATCCTGCCTCATCTGTCATCGGCAGGTGAGGACATCGCTCTTCTTTACTTGTAGGGCTGCAGGAAAGCACACAGTACAGAGATGCTGGGAATGGACTTTATAAATCACAGCGTGCCCTCTACATGTGCTATAATTCCAGCAGGAGCAGCAGGGCTCCGATGCAGCACCATCTGCTGCAGCAAGAAACGCGCTGTGGCGCTGCCCCGTGTCAGACTGCTCAAAAGCTGTGTGAGTCGCAAAGCGACATCGTGTTCAGCTTTGTGGGAATTTCTAGGCTAGCATTGTCATGAAATTCAAAGCGTGTTTATTTGTGAAGTTGGATTCTATTTCTGTCAAACCACATGCACACGACTTCACGGGTTTGCATTTGTCGTGAGACGTGTCAGACCTTCCCGTGACTCACTTGCCCCTTTTTCCATTTACTGTGGAAGCCCCTCCTCCCAAAAAGGATGTTTATAGAGGAACCAGGGGCCATGTCTGTGTTCCAGATTCCTTAGACCTCTGCAGTACAGCAAAGGGATCTGAGATCTGCTGTCTGGAGCAGCTTCTCTCTGCTCTGCACCCTTTACTGATCTACAGGAATTGGGATCTTGCAGGGACACACAGACACACAGACCGCGCGCAGGCACACACTCACGACATGCCCAGGTAATGATAGTCCACACCTCTTACACCTCTCCCCAAGTATCACCGATTGGAGGGCATTTTCATTCAAACCACACTGATTCGTGGCGTGGTGGTGGTGATAAAAATATCCTATTTGGGAGAACTTGTTTTTAGAACTTATTTTTAGATTTTGTTTTATTTTATGTATATGAGTTTTTTTCTTGCCTGTATGTATGTGCGCCACAGAGGTTGGGGTCAGATTCCCCGGAAGCGGAGATATTGGTGGTTACGTACCATTATAAGTGTGCCAGAAATCGAGCCAGTCATCTGCAAGGACAAATGCTCTTAGCCTTTGGGCTATCCAGCTCTGAACTCACATTTTTTTAAAATAAAAAGTACATTTAATAACATAAGCATCAAATTCAAACATGGCCTTCCCCTAATATTCTATGCTTTTATATCAATGGGATATTTAATATTTCCAGTATTTCAGGTTTTCCTTTCCTTCCATATTCCTTTCCTCCCTCCATTTCTATGAGGTGATTTTGACCTTGTCCTTCGTCTTCTTGTCTCTGCTTGCTATGTGCTGGGATTACCAGTGTGTGCCACCATGCCTGACTCAACCATGGTGCTCTAAGCAGTAGGGACAAAAAAAGAATTTTTGGTTGATTACTAGATCTTTTCTTCCTCAACTAATTATCAGGTCTCTATATCACTCAGTTATTCCAAGAACAACAACAACAAAAGCTTATTTTTCTTCTTTAGTCTACACACTTAACCATAAGTCAGTCTTTTGAGTTCACTTGTAAAGCTCATCTTGAGTATGTGAGCTTTTTTAAATGTCTGATTATCACTTTATTATGTCACATCAATTGCTGTTTCCTTCCTTCCTTCCTTCCTTCCTTCCTTCCTCCCTTCCTTCCTTCCTTCCTTCCTTCCTTCCTTTCTTTCTTCCTTCCTTTCGTGCATGCATAGATATATAATCCCACCCGTCCTTACATGTTTAAAAAGTCACTGAACAGTAGGTTGCAGATAAAATGTTTCATTACTTCAGTGCTCAGGCCTCAAATTCTCTTACAATCACAATTCGAAGAATAAGAACAGTAATACTGACATAATAATATTGCCTAATCTATAGACTTTACTCAGGTCTCAGTTTTCTAAATAAAGGATGGTCACTTTTAATTTCTCCAAACGTTAGGTCCAACTGTACCTCAGAGAACACCACCACAGACACACATTTATCTTTTATTTATTTTTTAATTTAGTTTTTTTGTGGTAGCCCTGTTTGACTTTGAACTTGTGGCGCTCTTCTGCCTCAGTGGTCTAAGAGCTCTGTCTTCATTATTTAATGGCGCTATTCTGTGGATAAAGGAAAAGAAGAGGGGACTTGGCTCCATCTGCCTGCTGTCAGACCCTTCTTTGGTAACCTCAAATGTCTGGACCTCAGTTTCCTTAGCTATTTGGCAGTAGATGATTATCATGGAGAAGCCCCAAGGCTTTAGAATTCCCAGACGATTGCTTACACTCTTATATTTAAGTCTCAGGCAGAATTACAGCACCATTCTGTGACTCCTCGCTAACTTTCGGGTTAACTATAGGAAGCATAGGATGATGACAGTTCTTGACCTAACAAGGCTTCTCACTTTGGAGGAAGCAGATGAGAAGAGTTGGGCTTCTATCTACTCTAGAGAGCAGCTCCCAACTTCTCAGCTCCTCACAGCCATGTTCCAAGCTCTCTGCCAGGAAGACACTGCAAATCTTTACCATGGTTGGGCCTTGCAAATCCACCTGGCCCTTCCTGTCATATACCTTCCTCAACTCTTCAGATCTAGCCTAAGTCCCACATCTAACACCCCAGCCTTGCCTGGTCACCCCTATTTTTGCAGGCTCAACCTTCAGACTCTAGCCAGGACATGCCTTGTTTGTCTTTTGTCAAGGCCTCTCTTACACTATACTCAACTTCTCTGCCCAGCCAGGTCCTGCACAACTTGAGCCAGGGTCTAACCAGGTGAGCCTGACTCGTCACCTCCTCCATTCACCTTTCCCAACCCCTAGCACAGCCTTAGCGAGACAGGATGAACAAAAGTACTCCAATCAAACAGGATCAAGGACGCAAGCAACTGCCACTATCCTAATGTCTGACAAAATTAAATTCCACTTAGCTAAAGAGATAAAGAAGATACTTTATTCTAATAAAGCGAATAATTAGCCAAGAACACGTTCCTACCCTTCATACATATGCAACAAACTCTGATGCACCCAATTTCATAAAAAGTTTACTAGTGCTGGAATTGAAGGTGCAGATTGATATCCAGTAATACTATCTTCAATCCTCTCCAATAGACAGGTCATCTGGACGAAAAAAAAAAAAAAAAAAAAAAAAAGCAGAGAATCATCAGAATGGAATGACATCATACACCAAAAATCAGATGGCCGTAGGATGGTGGGCTTAAATCTATGCCATTGTCTACGTTGTCTATTTTTATGACAGTACCATGCTGTTTTCATTGGCTCTGTAGTATTACTTGAAATCTGGGATGGTGATACCTCCAGCAGCAGTTAGTTTTCAGGATTTCTTTACTTTTCCTGGGTCTTTTGTGTCTCCATATATGTTTTAAGATTTGTTTTTCAATTTTCTTGAAGAAGTGCACTGGAATCTTAATGAGGATTGCACTGGATCTGTAGATTATTTTTGGTAATACGGCCAGTTTCACCCTAGTTTTCTGAATCTATGAGCTTGGGATGTCTTTCTATCCTCTGGTGTTTTCTCAGTTTCTTCTGTGACCAGAAGTTTGCACCGTATACATTTTCCCTTCCTTGGTAGACTCAGTACGATTTTTGAGGCTATTGAGAATGGAATTGTTTCTGTTTTTCCCTCCCCTCAGTTTGTTTGCCATTGGTATACACGAAGGCTGTTGGCTTTTATGGATTAACTTTTTATCCCGTTACTTTGCTGAAAGAGTTCATCAAATGTAGGAGTTTTCTGGTGGACTATTCTATGTAGAGAACCATATAATCTGAAAATCAAACAGGGATATTCCCCATTTTTTTTTTCTTCAGACAGCATCTCACTATGGAACCCTGGATGATCTGGAACTCACTATGGAGTTGAGGATG